TCTCATGTATGCAATCATTCTACTCAAATAAAAATAATAATAAATTTGAAAATAACAATAATTAATCACTTCTTTCCCCCACTGTTGGAAAACCCCAAATCTGCTCAGTGGAAATGTTTGTTTTCTCTTGATAGTATGAACTGTATATACTTGATAGCATTAATTGAAACAGGTCATTCTCTCCTTAGGTTTTAAATCAGTTGGCTCCCAAGTGATCAAGCAAATTGGTAAGGTGATATTAGTTCAAATTAGTAAGGTCCCTTTATTTGCTAATTTATTTTAGTTGAGTTTATTCTGATTTAGTTTGGCAAGATGACATTGCCTCAGTTATAACCTAAATGTTATAAGACAACAGAGACCATTTAATGTACAATGTCCAAATCATCCCAACATAAACATGTTTGATTTTAAAATGAAGATCGCCTTCTTTGTTTTGATATCTTTGGACTATAACTGTAATAGAATACTTTCAGTTGGTTCTTTTAAGTCTATATAGTGACTATGACCTGGTGGCTAAATCCTTGAGATTTGTCTTTTTCAATCACAATTGTTCTTACAAATCTAAATCTTCCAGCTACTGGAGGTCAATGAAATTATAACTAGGCATCAATGTAAAAGTCTTCAAGGGTTCCCCCAACCTTTATTCAGGATATATTTTGAGGCCTCATGATATAGCAGAAATCTCTGACACACATAAGAAATTACTATGATTGGATATAAGGTTTCACCCAAAACATCCTGTGCTAATTCAGGAATGTTTGGAGACAAAATGAGTAGATCATGAGAGCTGTAAGCTAATTGGTCCACCCTTGTTTGAATGGAGTAGGTGGTAACTATAGGGAATTGGGGCATGGCTAGAGGAAGAGAGGCATGGTGGCATGGCCTAGAAAGAAAGGTACCTCTTCCCTGTGGCCCCTTCCTCTGTCCATCTCTCTCTGCTTCTTCACCCCACCATGAGGTAACCAGGGCCCTTTGGCCATGATGTGTTGCCCACCTTGGGCTAAAGCTATGGAGTCAGCTATTTATGAACAGAGACCTCCAAAATTGTGAGCCCCAAATAAACTTTTCCTCCTCTAAGTTGTTCTTTCAGGTATTTTGGTCACAATGACTCAAAATTTGACTGAAAAAAGGAATTTTTCTGACACCAAAGAGTTGAAAACTACTATTGACATTTGGTAGTTTCCAAAATATACAAGTAATCCCAGAAATTACAGGCCATAAATAGGGTAGACAATAAGATAGAAGGACTCTTGGGTTTCAAATGTCTTTATGGAGTAAATTCACCTACCTATCTGCTCTAAACCACCTACCTTCTTTCAGACATTTATGTGAAATACAAGTAAATTTCTACCTTGTCTGATCAACTCACTGTGGGTGTCTTTGTTACTCTTGCTTAAGGTAGTATGAAGTATACTTTCTGATACTGTAAGTTGAGCTTTCTAACAGATAGAATTTTCATCTCCATTTCCAGCTCCAAATTCCTGCACCATAGTGTTTGCAAAACTAGAGACATTTCACTCTTTCTTCACTTGGAAAATTTGTACTTCAAGCTCAAATATTACATCCTCTGAGAAACCTTCCTCAGCTCATTCAGATAGCTTTTTATTTTTAATCTACTGAGCTCTTGGAGGACCAGTTATTTAATAAACCTTCCTAAGATTCAATTTTAGAATAAATAGTCTCAGAAAGTTTAAGAAGGGTGAACTTTGTTTAACTACAAAATAAATAAGACTTTGTGCTGTAGGGGACACATAACTGACTTAATAGTCAAGAAAACTGGGTATTATTACAAGTTGGACTAGCTGGGAAAAAAACACAACCCTATCCCTTACTATTTAATTTTTCTATTATGAGACATAATATTAATGGTAGTAATCCATGAAAATCAAGTACAACCCAACTATTTACCTGAACAAAAATAAAGCCAAACAATATGGTAAATATACTTGCCAATTAATCTCTCAAGGTTGAGGTACTTACATGCATTAGGTTATCTTATAAAGAAAGATTTAGAATAAGATAAAGAAAATAATTCTAAGTTAAGAAGTTTATGAATTAAGTTGAATACTAACATATGATTAGTCCTTACAGCAAGAAAAGTTAAAAACAAACCTATAAGATTTGTATTATATTTGCACAAAATAAAAAGACAAACAAGCAAGCAATAATAGATTTTTAAAAAAATATTCTGGTCTTTATAAAGTTGAAATAGCTATGAATAACATAGCATTAGACTTAAAGGAGCAATATTGTTTCATAAAAGTATGCAGGTATGGCTGTCCATTCAGAAAAGCATTTTGTTCACCCTTCATTGACTCTTGAGATCTATGCAGGAGTACATCTTAAACACGTATTTGCCTAAATGAGACTATGACTTGAAAGTCATGCCTTAAAATGACAGTTTGAAAGCAAGAAAAATCTGCAAAAAGTAAAAGATGTTACCATGAGACCTTTTTTATTTTGTATGGGGTTAACAATAGAAACTTAACAACCTGAAAGACAATAAAGTCCAAAAGTTAGGGATGAGATATATAATTTCTTAATGGTTTCCTAACTTGGTGTGATCAGTTAACTTTTAACAACTTAGCATCACATGATGGATGGAAACTGAAGGAAGCCTGATATGAAGTCCAACATCTCTGTATTGGGGGAGCTTGGGTTGAAGAAGTTGTTCCTCTTATGAAACACATTGCTGTGTTTTAAAAGTGTTTTGAATGCTGTCACCATTTACATTTCATGTCTTCTTATTAGGACGCATGGGGGATTTCTAATCCTAATTTCAAGAAAAGGTGTTGATCTTTTGGGATTCGTTTACCCTTAGTTTTATGGATACTCTAAACTGAAAATTTGCCTTACAGTGTTGGCTACTAGAGAAAAAAAAAATGACCTATCACCTTTTTTTTTTGAAAGAGTATTTATCATGACGTTTTAGCCAGGCTTATTCTTAGTGTTTCTGGTTTTGTTTGTTTTAAGGTACTTTTTTTTTTCTTCTTTTTACACTCTATCTTTGTTTCTTTCCCTATATGAAAGGTGAAGAATGAATAAGGAACACATTCATCCAAGTTTAAAAGGCAAATCTGTGCCCAAAACTCGAGTGTTCTGTCTCCAAGTCAAGTGCTCAGATCTTCCCTACATTATTCATCATTCTTATTTTAAAATGGATAAATTTAACTCTGTGTCATTGAAAGTTGTAAGAATGATTTATCCCTTAGCAAAAGAAAAATCCATTTTGAAGAAAATGTTTTTTTTTTAATTCTGTTCCTTATTTCAAATTTCAAATCTGATGAATGAATAATTAATGATTATTTAACATTTTAGAGGGATTTGTGTCAGTTGCATTATTTTTAGTCTTCTCAAACTCTGCAGACAATAATATTATTCTCACTTTTACAGATGAACAAACCGAGTCTCAGCAAGACTAAGTACCTTGCTCACAGACATAAAGCCATACAGTCGTGTTGGAGGTTGATCCACCTCCAAACACCACACTCAGAGACCCTACCTAATATTATCAGTTTGTGCTTACACATGGGAACACTCATTAGGAATGGCTAGTATTTAATGATGTTAACGTTCTAATATTCCTAAAGACTTCTTCCAAAGACAGAAGGCTTTAAGCCTATATACAATGAAACATTGATTAAAACCTAAAATATTTCTTCCAGAGTACATAGTTCAGTCTAAAGTTTCAGATTCAGTAGATTTTTAAATTCTATTAAAAATAAATTGCATAGGGAAAATAAATAGTATCACTTTCTAAACTAACCTCATTTTCTAAACAGGCTAAAAAGTTAAAAGAGGCTTCAATATCCACATTTGCAAACACTATCTAATACACATAGATAAAACTATGTCTAGTATTACTCACACTTTACACATTTTTATATAAGCACTGCCAACAGACTACAGCATGTTTTAAAGGTGGAAATAAAATCACAAACCTTGGAAAGAAGGATTTTATTACCCATCTATAAAATTCAAGTTTACAAGAGAGCTGGAATATATTTATGCTACAGTAATTTGATCATGCATAAAAGGGGTGACACACTCAGTGGCTCACATTACTTTAATTAAAAACTTGCATAGGGTTACCTCAAGTTGGAGCAAAGCACAGAAATGGAAGTCACAAGGGAAGATTTATATTCTTGATATTACCACTAACAGGAATGCTGCATAATATAAAGATTGGTTTATTTCTGTGTCAGAAAGCAATCAATATAAACTAAACGTGTGATGTGCAGTGCTTTTATTAGAGGGAGGGAATTTCATTACCCATTCATAAAATTCCTTTCAGGTTGACCCAGTAGTTCCCATTCAATGATTTCCACAAACCTATGAAATTTTATCTCAAATGTATCAATGCATGTAGCAATGAAGTGCATTTTAAAGAAAAATACATGCCAGGAGTCTCCTAATAAGAACGATATTTTAGAAATTATCAGAAAATATAGACATAGGCCTGGGGAAGGTGTGTTGACTAAGGTAATTTGGTTGGAAGCACTCCTGCAAATGATCAGAATGTCACCCTCTAATGTGCAAACCAGACCAAGAAGGAGAGAAAAGAAAGCACAAATAGATTTGACTACTGAAACACAATTATCAAAATAAGAAAAGTTAGTCTTTACCCAGACTCACTGATAGTTGAAGCAACTTACACTCAGATGAATGCTTTACTCAAATGGTGCTTTACCATTTTTCACAATAATTTCATTAATTCATTGATTCTTATAGCAAACCTCAGGGTTGCAAAAGACTAACAATATCATCCCCATTTTACAATATGGAAACAAGTTCCAAGAGACTGAGATGTCCCCCACCCCACCCCCACCAGCTCCCTTAGTGCAAAATTGCAAATGATTAGGAGATCATCAAACCCAGAGTTTCTATTTCAGCTTGAGAACACTTTCCAAATAACATACTATTGCATCAACATAGTCTAGTGTCTAAAGTCTCCTCTAAAAAGAGGAGACTTGGTAATAAAAAATAAAAATTTTACCAACCTTTATCACTTGATGGTATGCAACTTTAAAGACTTTATTTTTCAAGAAACTTATGGAGGGTCCAATATACTAAAAAACAAAACAGTATAGATATCTGATAGTGAAACGAATTAGAATATGCACAAAGATAATATTTACTATTAATAACAATTAAGAGTTTTTAACATATAATATTATAATATTTTGCAGTTATCCAGTTAAGCTACAGTGAATTAAGATTAGTCAAGCTTCTTGATTGATTAGAATTAGGAATTGATGGACAATCATGCATTGCACTTGATTTATTTCCTGCATTTAAGTCAATTCCAAATACAAAAACTCTTACATTCTTGTCATGACATCCCACCACCTAGTTTGACTTGTGCAAAATACTGGGACAAAAAATAATTCAAAAGTAACCATTCTCATGAAGTAACAATATATTGATAAAAAAGTCAGACATGTGGCAGTTCATTAATATATTTATGGCAAGTTAACAAGAGGCATTCCATAGAAACTTTGAGAATGGTTGTTTCCAAAAACATTTTACATTTATTTCACCACTTCCATTTCTAAAATTTATTCCATACTATTTTCTTTCAGCCTAAATTTTACTTCAAAATGAAGAAAATTTATTAATATTTCATTTTATGAATACTAATTCTACTACCACTACCAATTCTGTCAAATCTACTATGAATTCTTTTTGACATTAGACCACATTGATAAAATAATATGGTTTATGGAAACAGGATGGAAATAACACACATTATTAACTTTCCTTTTTAAGCATCAATGTATATAGAACTTCCTGAGGGCTTTACTTGTACAAAGGGATTTAACTTTTCTATAAGTAATACATTTTAAAATTATATATATATATATATATATATATATATATATATATATTCATCTTAGACAGTTTTATAAAACTGTCACAATTATAATGCAACTTATTTAGCCCATCAACATAAACATAATTTTATTGATTAAAAAGCAACAGATAGAAAAATCTGATCAATGACTCTTAAAACTCTGCCTCATTATTTGGCAAATGATTAAGCCAGAGTACAAGCCAATGTGGCCAAAATCACCAGATGTTTTCATAGAATGTAATGCACTAATGAATTCCATTCTCATGGAAAATTCCATTTCATTTTATAAGGTTTAAAATTTGTTTCCTAAAAGAATGGAAATATTATTGGTGCTGTTGACTAACAGGCAGAACATAGTTCCACATTATGAAAACAACTTGTTCAATTCTTTTTTTTTCTTGAAAATACCATGTCTTGACAATAGTATATTCTAACAATGATTTGCTTCTCTTAATTTTTATATGATTATATTTTTAAAAATTAGATTCTGAAATACACAAAAAATAAACTATCCATACCATGCATATTATTTTATTCAGAATTAGCCACCAATAATCTCAGCATATTTTGTAAGTATTCTACTAAGACTTACTTTTTTTTTTTAAATTGGGAGTCATGCCCACTATAAAAACAAAACAAAACAAAAATAAGAAAACAAAAACAAGCCTCAACAAATGATTAGTTGGCAAATCAAAAGTGTGCCACAATTTTTTAAGCATCTAAAATTCTCATACAGAAAAAAAAAAAAACTAGAATTGATATTGAGGCTACTTCATTTTGGGCACCATTCTATACATATACGTGGCTATATATATAGATGGTCCATGATGTCTTCATGAATATTGAATCATTATACATATTAGTTTTTTCATATATTAAATTTAAGAGTGTAACAAAAGAACAAAATCAAAATGATACTAAAAATTGTGAATTTATAATATTTCTTTACTGGAAATACATGATTCCTTTAAATACCTTTCATTTAAGAAGCTAAAAAAATATTAAGAAGGGAATTCATTCTTTCTCTAAAACTTCATGTTTAAGGGTATGATGCAGTAGAATTCTATGAAAAATCTTCATATTTCACCTTAGCAGTTCATACATATGTTCCCATCTTATCTCCTCCTATTTCCTAAATATGAATGTGAATATTCTTTTCTGGTTTAAGCATTTAATGACTTCTTTCACAACATTATTACCTTTGACTTCTAAGTATTAGTTTATATTTAAATAACTGTAAGGCTTACCATTATGCTTTTTCTTTGCTTACTTTTTCTGCACTCTCCAATTCGATTCAACTACTAATTGACTTGATTTTATATCTTAAAGTTTTGGGGAGTGAACATACCATGTCTACTATATTTAATTTCAAAATAATGTATTAAAAGTAAATTCTATGCTGATAAGATAGTTCTAATTTTATACATTTATTTGAAAATTAAGTAAGGTAATAAGGGAACTGTTTTCAATATCAGAGCTTTGTTTCTCATTTTCAATGCCTCTGAATTTAAAGAAGACATACAACAAAATTACTAAATCTAAATGAGCTTTACTTAAATGATAGATTTGTTTTTCAACAGATGTGCTAACTTGCCAAGTCGGAGGGTAAGAAAAACAAGTCTAGAATTATACCAAAAAAGCAGGAACTCCTGCATTTGTCACAGCTGATTTGAGAAGTTTGTCATTTTAACAAACTGCTTTCTTCAAATGCTGCCCACAGTAACTTAACACAAGAACAGGTGACAGATCCTACCCCAGCTAGAGAAAAATGTCCCTCAATTGAATTTTAACTTACTTACAAAGGGTGATTATGCCAATCTAATGATCATATACTGGACCCCTGGTACTAAGTAAGCAAGCATGAGCTGTGACTTAGCAGGGTCCTCACTAAATTTCACAGCTCTGATTTTAAAATTATATAATCTGGTTCTAATTGTATTATGGTTTTCACAAGCTATATGGCACTCTCAGAAACTATCCAGTAACATGATAGTCACATTAAAGCTCACGATGAAATAACATGTCTGACAAAATGAATAAGCTGTGACAAAACAACTCATTGGAAAATGTCACATTACACTTAGGAATCACCTATCATCAGACATGTTTAGTACCCAGGAGGCTAGTGGTATTGCCAGAAGAACATTCTTAACCCAGAATAATCAGATTTCTCTGGAAGCAGCTTTCAGAATAAGCTTTTAGACTGTCATAATTATAAGCAAAAACTTACTTTTAGATATAGTAGCATTGAAAAATAGGCCCTTTCAAAATAAATAATTATGGAAATAGTGTATAGAAGTAAGGTACTCTGAAAGTTTTCAAGATAATTTAAAAATATGGAATTTTCCTAACTTTACAATAATAGAATAATAAATGATCATCAATAGTCTCATCACTAAGGATATGGGGGTTGGGGAGCACAATGTGGGGAGCAAGAGTGGTTCTTGTTCTCAAGGGAGAGAGAGCATTGGTCTCTGAGAGGACCAAAGGCAAAATCCACAAATCCAGTCTCACTTAATCCATCTTTAAAATGTCAATAAGGGAGACTGCTGCCATGTGCAATCATAAAATTTAGGGGTGTGTGCTTAGGCATGAGAAGCAAAGGTATGCACAAAAACCAGACGGGCAGAGGAGGTATGAAGAACTGGGTCTTTGCATGGTGCTATAAAGAATTTGGTGCAGTGACAGTTCACACAAACACACACACACACACAAGCTTGATTCAATGTCCAATATTTTGAGTACAATAAATCAGGCCACTATTTAGAAATTGATCAACCTATTATATATGTTGTAATGACAGGCAGAACTGCCATTCCATCTATGTTTTAATGCAGTTGGGTTAAGAAAGACAAAAACTGAACATATTAATATTGCTAATACGAATATTAGCTATATTCTAAAGCATATGTAGTAAGTAGGAATCTAGGAAATCTGTTAATAATTATGTCCTAAAATATTCCCCTAGTCCCTACAGTCTTGGCCAGCAGAACTATTTAGAACTAAGCAATGACAATTTTAATTTTTTCTAAATATCTAATTTTTAAAATATGAACAATAAAAGATGGTCCAGATCAATTTGAATATTAACAGCATGTGAATTCAAGGCTAAAAAGCTGCATTGGAATTTTTATGAGGGATTTGTTCCCTAGTAAGAAATCCATTAAGCCTTATGAAGTTTGTCTCTTTCTTTTAAATGGTATCCTAAAAGTAAATTTAAAAAAAAAAAACTCATTTTATTTTTTCAAATACTTTTCAAAGATGACTTGTGAGTTAAGAAGTTACTTATTCATATTTGAAAATACTTTTCTGAGATAAATTTTATAGCCTGAGCACTTCTGCTGCAGAATATATGTCTTAGCACCATAGTCAGTCTCCCATGTACTTTTCCTTATCTCCCCTGCTTTTAGAGAATACATTCAGCTTTAAAAGCAGCTCTCTTAGCCTTTGACTTGGGCAATCATTCAACAAGGGCCTGACAACTGAACCCCCTGACTTAAAGAAAAGCCTTTCACAAGCCAATTCAGTGAATTCTTCAGTTTTTTTTTTTTTTTCAGATTTGTAAATGGGTTGGTTGGAGACATAGAAATTTGGTTACTGCATCAATATACTTTTCCACATATTTTGTATTTCTAAATAGGGCTTAATTTACTGTCCCAGATACATTAAAAAGGTTTTCACTTAACTTATTTAATATTTCCATTTGGATACACTCTCTCTTTCCCTTAAAATGTCTCAGAAGCAAGTAAGGTCACCTTTAGAGAATCAAGATTCATCCTTTTCTGGTCATACACTTTCCAAGTACAGATTTCTAATGTACAGAGACAATCAAATCAACTCATCAAGGCCATCTGGAGTTTGAAACCACTGAATAACCGAGTAACTGCTAAATGTATTAGTCTCGCCCTCTGAATGGCATGTTCCCTTGTGTCACCATGCTGAGTACTCAGGGACATATCCACCCCATAATTTGAGACATCTAAGCCTTCAGGCGAGAAGTAGATAGAAAGCAAATGAAGTTTAAAATACAGAAAATTGATTAGAAATAGAATTGAATTAACACCTAGAAATTAGATTGCTTATTTAATTATTTCATTTAGTTTTCATTTTCCTTCAATTACTTTGCAATCTTTTGTAATAAATGAAACCAAATCATAGAGATAAGAAGCTTAAGGCTTCTCTCTCTTTTTTTTTTTTTTTTTTTTATAAAATTAG